TCACGAGACACTGTTCAATGATTTTCAGCACCTGATTTGCAGAGAACGCAAGATTTCCAAGCGAGCCGTGGTGTTTTAGAGGGGAAAGTCAGCGAACGAACGACGGTGTAGAAGGCTGGCACGATCGTTTGTCCAATCTGATGGAGAAGAGGGCTTATCCAGGTTAGGGGGAATTTGTGGATATTCTGAGGCGGGAAGAACTTGGTTAGAGTGAAGGTTTCCCACTGCCAAGCAGGACAAGTGAAGATCAAAGATAGAAAGACCGTTGGGAAGGATATACAATTTTCTGCCGCTTTAGAGAAGTTGGAAGTGCAAAACGTTGCAGAATACATGGAGAAAGTTCTTGATATTATGAACCATTTGTTTGCCTTTGAATTTGTCGTGGATCCCTATCCCCAGTCCCAGCTGTTGTGAATGACTTTCTTGTTTTTTTCTCCGGAAACGAGCAGTACCTTTCAGAAAATAAATGACATTGCTTTAATGATATAAGTGGACCTTGAGTGCATTTTAGAAGTGTGAAAGGGAAGGGAGAGAATACTTTTTCGCGATGGTCCCTTTCTTCCTTTCCTCCCGTCTCCTGCCCCTCCTCCCCCCCCCACCCCTCTCCCTTCCAGGCATGTCTGCGTCAAATGCGATACCGTACTCCCTCTCTCCAAATCAGGTTGTCAGAATTTTTTATTTTCTCTGCTCGTTGGGAAAAGGAAACGGTGTCGCAATTGTCGCCCAATCCTCAGAGAATAATGTCCCCCTTCTTGGGCGTTTTCCTGCTTTGCAATATGCTTAGTATATACGTGAACTTCTTCATATTTTCTTCTGGAACGCATAACTCCTTAGTGTGTGCCGAGATGACGGAAAATAAAAGACAGATGAAGATAGCTCCTCTTCATCTACCTACCTAGCAATACATATTTCATAATCGTTGAAAGAGATGAGGAACAATAATGGGGAAAGGATTTCCGAGTGATTTGTATTAGCATTTTCTCTAAGAAAAATTAAGGTCTCTGAAAATATTAAGCATATATGAATTCTTTAAATATAAAGAGACATCTGAGTTCCTACTCACGTACTGAGAGATAAAATGTAAAATTTCTCATTAATTACTTTGATGGATGTTTCTGGATTTTGCCCAGTGCTCTGTTAAGGGAACTAACATCAAGGCATTGTTCCTGAACTGGACCATGTTGGTGATTTGTCTCCAACGATGTTCGCAGATCCAGCCATTCCCACTCGTTCCATCTTCGTCGATGTTCACAACAACGTATTGTAATTTCCGTCATGTGGCGGTCCGACCCAATCGTTCTGATCCTGAAAAATTGGGATGGAATGTTTAAGTGAAGCAGGGATCTGGAGAATTCAGTCCCGAAGAGAAAGTTTTTCCATAGCAAATACTCTAACTGACCTGTCCGCCTTGCCAATTTTGATCCCAGTAGTAGCTCGACATGACCTTGGGATATCCGTAGGGTCATGCCAACATGAATGCATTAGCCATCTGCAATTAAGGGAAGGGGGAAAAAAAACCCTTAAAGTAAGTATTTGTGTCTGGTAGACTTGATAGATTTTGTGAGTGGAGCTTGACCTTGTAAAGTCTTGGAACTCTGAAGGTGAGGATCATGCCTCCTCCGGCTCCATGCCCTCTCTCATTGTCGTGGTTGTCGGTGATCACTACGCCATTGCCTCCAGCCAGCTTTCCCCAACCCTCAGTTGCAACATTTCTTTTCTTTTACTCCGTAAAATAACCCACGCCGGTCCTGCTGCTGATAACATACGCTTAGAATAGTCACCATCTCGCGAAAACAAAAATTTCATTATCGCCGGATGGGAGCATGGGTAGCTGAGAGGGGCACAAGAGCCTCCTCAGTCTGAAGTCTCGGCACAAAAAAGGAATTGAGGGTAGATGTATGCCAAACAAATAATGGACTCCCCCCCCCCCACCACCACTTTTCGAAGCAGAGCCCGCCCATGTATATGCCGTGGACGCCTAAACCAATAATATTTTCTTCGTCTTGCATGAGATGATACAAGCGTCAAATTTAGAATTATCCGGTTTTTTAAATCATGTTTGTCTATTTTTTTATAAAAAAAGAGGTAAAACACATAGGTAAGGCTCAGAAATGCAACTGCAGTCATGTTCTTGGTCAACCTGGCTTTTTCCTTTGGTTGACTAATGGAAAATATTTGGCTAACGATAATCGGCTAGAAATCAATGGAAGGGCAAATCTCAATCCTTGCAAGGATGTTGAGGATTTGTCCCCTAACTTCACCAAATAGAAACTGGAGTCTAAACTCCCTTTCTACATATATCAAAGGTCCCCGATATTATTTATCAGATATCGAAGAATGGAGTTCAAGGACTACCGAAGTTTTCGACATACTGGAGTTGATTCTGCTTGCGGAAAATTTCGCCCAGGAACTTGCCGTACTTGAATTCCGTGACTCGTCCGTTGCCCACGTATTCATTTCCAGTGATCAGCTCGTTGCCTGCATGGGAAATAGTCACATTCAAAATTTTTTGAGTTTCATATAAAATCATGTGCAAAACCTTTTATGGGTCAGCTTGCCGCAGGACATCGACAATAAAAATCCCTGAATTTCATCGGAGCAAATGAGAATATCGTCACACGGCTCAATTTTATTTCCTGTTTTTCCTCCATAGGAAATCTTCAAAGTACCATATTTTGATAAGCAACTACCTGATAAATACTCTCAGGTATGAGTCATAGTACTCTATGAAGACGTTGATGACGTAATATCCGATGGCATCATACTTTATCACGGCTTGATGTTATCATTCCATTAGCTTTCTGTCTTTGAAAAATATTCTTCCATTTTCTCCTCTTCTTTTCCGCCAGAATGAAACATCATATATTAAGAGGGGCTTCCAAGCAGCGAAAAAAATTCTAGAAAAAATTCTAATTACCCTGACTTGCCTTGGTTAAAAGCAAAAGTAAATAGTGTGGGCCATTCGTCTTGCTCGTTCCATGGATGACCACAACGAGCATATAGAGTATACCTGTAATCGCGGAAGCAATAAGAGCAGACCAGCAATAAGAGCAACATCCAGTCGACCAAAAAGTATTGACCACAGGCATACTTTCCTTCCTCGTCCACTCAACACCCATATATCAGTTGTTCCAAATATATATTTTCCACATTAAATGCAGGTAGACGGAACGTATTGGTATGGAATCGTCGAAACTCATTCGACGAATGGACATTTTGTCGAAAGACAGTTGAGCGAACGCGACCATACATCGAAGGATTCATTCATAGAAGTATCTGGAGATCGAAAGGTCTAGGTCACCGAAGCCGAAAAAATACTGATTTTATTTTCTTCGTTTGCCTAGTCAAGTGTGCCCTGGCCTAGGTCTCGTTACATCCCGATGTGCGTTGCACATTTGAATCCTGTCAGAAGTGATCAAGTCTCCACAAGGGCAGGATACGTTTGTGATACAAACGTTTCCGGAGGAACAAGGTGAGGCACTGAAAAATCATCGAGCCTGATAAAGTATGAACACGCTAGGATTTCGATTTTTTCGTTAACCCAATAATTCTACACCTGTAAGGCATTTGGCTCCAAGCTGCATCCAACTTTTTATTTCCGTGAAGTCGTCGTTCGCCACTCGTCAGGCTGATGTAAAACGTTGAGCAGGAACTTCAATAAACTCCAAGAGTCTCTAGAGGCTATCAAGTTACAAAGCGAACTTGTGATATTGATATTATTCAGGGACGAATCGCTCAGAGGCGCTTCGCGGGAAGAAATACCGTAAATACACTGGGCCTGGTTGCCGGCATATGGCTGTGACACAGATGAACCAAAGATGTGGTGAAGTCCGTTTTTGCAGAGTACTTACGGCATGGTCCATCCAGGCTCATCCAAAAATGTCTTTTTTTTTTAGAGAACTTTCCTCTGTCTCTTTTTTTTAATTAATGCAACATACCGGTGTCTTTCAGATTTGACTATACGACCTTGATGTTTGCGATGAAACCCATGATTCCAAAATTCTTATTTTTCCTACATTTTGGTGTTTCGACGAAAATCAGTTATCATCGGAAAGATTTTGCTTCGGCGAAATATCAAATTTATTCGATATTTGGAATTTCGTCCATTTGATAAATCGACCTTTCGAGCTTTCGGCGATGCTACTTTCGATGAATCGGTGTTCGATATTCTGATACGATCCCAGACGGAACATCCTTTTGAGATATCAGCAGGTGGTTTACAGAAGGTGGCACCTGACACGAACAAGCGATTCCAATAAATTCTTCTGAAAGCGGAAGTTCCAAACCGGAGCGACAGGTCTACTTCCGACGCGACGACCGAATCACGGAATGCGGCCCCCAAAGAAACCCCGGACGCTTCCTCCTCCTCGCCCTATGGGACCTTTCCCCTCCGCTGTTAGCTGAGAAAGCTGCTGACAGGTTCGATCGATTGGTATCGCGCAGGGGAAGCTTTTACTCCGGTTATGAACTTTCGTTTGAGTTTTCGGAAAACCACGTTCACATGTTGGATGTTACTGTGCATTTCTGGACGATGTCTCGAGTGGCTTTTTAAAATCAGAAATCTGTGAATTTAAGAAATTTTCGGGTCTCCAATAATAAATGTCAATAAATGTGGGCGGTTTTCTGAGAAGTTTCAATAAAATCGGTCATTCGGTAGTAGCTTTTTTTTCCACGATAAGGACCTCTGACAGTAAGCCTTAGAGATCCACCCACGTGAGGTCATACCTCAAATCTATCATCATGCACCAAATCTAATTCGACAATGTCGCACAGGACATAGATATCACGTCCAGACTTGAATATGAAATGAGCAAGTGCCTGTGTCTGCCTGCTCAGCTGGACAATGACACGGCAAATCTGATATGAACAAATGAGAGAGGAAGCATACACGGTTCGTATAAATTCGGCAAATACATCGATGTACGCGCCCCCAATTCATCAGTTAAAACGCGCGAACTGAAGCAAGATGCACCCATGCCTCGGTTCTTTACCTGTACTCATCTAATCCCCGTCTGGATCTTCAAAGACTCCTTTGAACGACACCGCAAAGAGTGTCTGGAGACTCGAATTCTCATTACAGATATGGATGCATCAAGGGAAGGAAAGTATTCGAACCGAGATTTGATGACTTCCTGGAAGACGAACGGCCTCGTCCCAGACGGGAACCCGTGCGTCGTGCTGAGATTTGAGAGCCGGCTGAAGATGCTACCGAGATCACCAGGCCACATGTGTTTGGAGGCGTCTATTCTGCATCCGGCCACTCCGTAGTCGATCAGCTTGTTCATGTATCCCACAATGACTTCCCCAATGAAATCCCACAATGGCGCAGAAACGTAGTCGCTGCCTTGCTTCAGGTCGTTCAAGCCTGAATGTTCTGTAGTCAGTTTGCAGTTAGGTACCTATAGATATTTTCAGGGGGTGGGGGAAACTCGGGGATCCTTTACGGATTTCGTCAAACTAGCTAAATAACTCTTCGTACCTCGATGGGTTCTGGTAGTTTTCGATGTTACCCGACGCAGAAGGACATTCGTTGGGGCCATTGAAGTCAAAGCCTGAGTAGGGTAACTGAGAGATCCTCCTGTTGCTGAGGTCCTCGACGGCCACCATTCTGTCATGTGGTTCACTACGACATCAGCGTAAATCTTATCGTTTAATCAAGGAATGTGTTATCTTCTCAATTCGTAATGCTGATCATTGCAATACCCGGATGACCGACGGAAGGGCATTCAATCCCAATCAATTCCAATTCCATCCCAATTCAGGATATCATCATTGTCTCATCCTTCCCTTTCCAAAGTTACCATTTCATCCTGATTCTCACCTCCTCGTGCGTATGTATTCATCTTTCATTTTCGAATTCATTTTATTACAAGATGTAAGGATTTAAGTTCCCTTGGTACCATGGGATCTTCGAATTGACTTCCTTACTCCTTCCCTCCCCCTCAGAGCTGCACAAGGTAAATCGAAGACGCCCTCGCTCGCTGGACATCCGATGAACACAGAGATAGACTTCGATGGAGCCATCTTCGATCCACTTTGACCATTGATTTTTGTGCGATAAGGGCTGAGAATTTCAGGCTGATCAGATCGGAATAGATTTGCCGTTGAGAATGGGCAATGCTTGCTCTGGTCCCTCCGGGATTAGGCAAGATCGAAAACAAAGACTGAACCGAGACTCGAACGTTAACACCCTTATCGACAGCGCAATATTTGATCACGTTCCGTGGTTATCGGCCGGAACGCATTAGGCCTAGGCCTACACTCTTCAAAAAGAGTGAGCGATTTTCGAGAAAGGGAGCGAAACTGGAGTTAGCGATTTTACTCCTTAAAAACAAGGAAGTAATGCCGCTCACCTCTCTCTTTCCTGAGAATAAACACTTACTTCTACTATAGATAGTTTGAAAAATACTCTTCCTCCTTCGTTTCGCGCTCTTAAAAAAATCATGGATTCTGCTCATGTAAAGGAGTAGTTATCGATTGTACTTTCTCGTTTTTAGGGAGTAATATCGCTAACTCCAGTTTCGCTCCCTCTCTCAAAAGTTGCTCACTCTTTTCTAAGAGTGTATTCGCTGGGTGCACTAACACTAGATGGCGCGTTTTAAATATGGCTCCGCCCATGACTGGGGGGAGTCGCACATAAGAGGAGAATGGAACAAAGCCATGTCTTCACAGAATTGTACAATCCTTCTTCACGTGGGGCTCCTCCCAATTTATTCTCAAAACTTGAGAGCCACGACATTGATAAAGGGAGCTTCTAGCCAAAGTAAAACATGTTATAAATGCGACAGAGTTCAGGGGTCTGCAAAAAAATGTGGTTCAATCCTTTCCAATCCAATCAAATTTCACCTTCAAAGGAGGTGTAGGTTTTCCTCAAAGCCATTCACCGATGCAAGGATTTCCATGGAATCATGAGCCTCAGTGAGGTACATGTGCATGATATGAGTGGGATATTATTAATATCTTCCAGTTCCTGATAGAATTCACTACAACGTGAAACTGCTTTAAACTTGATGAAGTTTTGACTCCCATTGCCTCTGTATTCCCTTAAGTGTCGCTTAAGTGCCGCTGGCTTTTTTTCCTTATCAGTTGTGCTTCATGGACGTAAATCATAACCCATGACAGAAACCCTTTATGGATTAGTACCTGAGCAGGGCCAGATTAAGAGGTTGCGAGGCCTGGGGCAAGTGGATTCTTGGAGCTACCCCTCCCTCCTCCACTTCCCACTTTACGCAAATACTTAACGTTTTTCATTTCCTTCGATGGCCCCCTGGAAGAGTGGGGCCCGGGGCAACAGCCCCCTTTGCCCCCCCTCCTCCCCCCCTTAATCAGGCCCTGACTTGATGATAAAACGTATCAAGTCAAGGGTTAATGTTAGCTATTTATCCTGTGACAGCAAATGCCAAATTTGATTTTCATAGCCCCATGGAAAGCGAAGGCCTAGACTGAAAGAAACATCATAACAGGCCTTTCAGGCTGTCTGGATGCTCCAAATAGAAACTTCAGCCCATCGATTACTTACTATATAATCATTCTTGGCCTTAAGAAATCCCTCTGGCAAAAAAAAGAAGTATTTTCGTAGTAAAATCTGCATGTTTCCATAAGAAACGCATTGAAGCTTGCGCGCTTGACTCACCCCAGCTCATTTTTATGCTTCCTGCTGCCAGATGTCTCCAACTTAATGCACCCAGATAATAGGTTCTAGCTTTATTTGTATTTTAACCTGGCCTTCCATTTTTCCGGCGATATCGTGAAAGGATAAGGAGAACCCCTCTGGTAGAATGGGTGGAGTGGCCTGGCGTAGTCGCCATATTTGATGCATCATTAGGACCCATCGTCACTACAGAGTTCTTCGCACGAGTCAGGCAATTTTTCAATCGATTTAGACATGTGCATGGGATGTTCCTCGTGCTCGGGTATCTGAGTCAGGTGGAAAGCGCTGTACCTCATGCTCTGTGTCAGGTACTATCATTACCTAGAATTCTACGGTTTACTAGAATCTACTCGAAAACTAGCCAGAGTTCTGGAATCTTCTAGAATCTACCTGAGAGCTGTGTAGGTTTCTATCCACCCTGTCGTGGAGTCATGAAGTTAGTAGTTCCCCCGCTTTTCGTATAGGTGTCGGACTATGCGCTTCGCTCGCAAGGCAACTGGAGAAATAAGACGCTCTCTCTCTCTCTCTCGGGACTCTGTTCAGGCATAGCCTTTCTGATGATTTGCAGGTTTGCACATAAAACTGGAGAACGCTTCCGGTGTGGAAGAAACCATGCTAATGAGCATATATTTTTATATTTTCTCAGCAAAGGATTTGAAGTCTCGTTCTCAGTAGGGCTCGGTGTCTATGAGATGCGATTTCATCTGTCGGCTTTGTTCCTTTCTGCACATGAAGTCGTCTGCAAATGCTACTCCGCCCGATTGCATCCGTCAACAGTCTCGCGGACACTATCGAAGACTGTACACTTCGGGAATGAGGGAAAGTGAATCCGAAACAACCGTAGAAACAAGCGATGATCGTACCTGACACCGGCGGCATTGCACCTCGAGACCATGTCCTGGAATTGCGATTCAGAGCCGGACCGCGTCTCCAGTCTGTATGAGACCGGCTGGTATCTCTCCCACCAGGGTCTCTGGGGTCCGCTGTCGTACCACGCGATCACGTTCTCGCTCGGAGGTGACACCTTTCAGCAATGGATAAGATTTCGTTGGCTTCCATTTCTGCCGTTCGAGCTCGACAGTTGACCCAGTACTTCGTTTAACAAAACTGAAGGGTTTGGTGTAGCCGCTACACTTTCTTAATTGAGGTCGAATCCTCGCCTTGGGACATATTCATAGCCTGATATTTATCTGCAAATCCCATTCAGTGCGCAGAAGAATGAGATCATCTTTTTAATGGATGATAAAAAACAACTTACTTTCAACAGCTTTTTCTAGAACAGGACTCTTCACTGGGGCGAGTTTGCATTCCGATAAGGAAAGCTTCAACGATTTCTCTGATATAGCTAATGCAACCTAAACAATGAGAAGAGGGATGTGTACAGAGTAAAAACGAGAAACATGGTGCCATAGATTCTGTGTCCGGTTTGTGTCCACTGCAGTTGTGGAACGGAACAAGGAAAGATGTACGAAAATCTTCAATCGCACCCCTTATATTGAAAGCGTTATCTCTTCTTTGTGTCCATAACGCACTCTGCTTCATCCGAGGGGTCAAAAAATGATAAGAAAGTTTAAGCTCACTTTATTATCGCGATGCAAAATGCGTTCTATCCCTGAAACCTCGAGAGCAGAGTAATATTCGTATCCATTTTGCATCTGCCCCGAAATCCTGAATTCGCCAAGACTAAATGTGGATTACGTGGAATCCGTGGAAACGGATTAAGTGGCCTTGTCGAGATTACCTGGACACCCGCGAATCCCTTGGGGCCGAGGAACCGTTCGCATTCCGCAGCGATGTCCTCCCACCGCCATTCAAACAGGTGGACGAAGGTACTCCTTCCGGGCTCGACGTTCGGGTCCCATTGGCCCTTCAGGGGACTCAGGAGACAGAGGAGAATCAGCGATTTCATCTCGAAATCGCATATTCTGTTTGAACTTTTCACAATTTTAATCCTCCTTTTATGGGGCCAATGATCCGTTTCAATTCCTTATCTCAGGACGGATAGCTTGCGAAATCGCGCATGTGAGGTTTTTCCTAAAGAGTGTAATTGCCTCGCGTTTTTTGGCAAATTACGTAAATCCCGGCCCCTCGTTTTGGCCCATTCAAAGGCAATTTTGGCTGCATTGTGCAAAACCAAATCATTGCGTACTGTTTTTATTCCTTCCGATCGATACACGACGAACATGTGATGAGAATGGCTCGCAGAGGAAGGTCGGATGGCAGGAAAGGACGTAAGAGCGCCAGGGGACGGCCGGGAATTGAACCTGGGCCTCCCGATTGCTGGTCGGGCGGGCAACCACTACACCACCGAGGACATAACTACCATCATCACAAAGAACTCTCGGTGTCTCCAGATTGGAACCTTATCGCCTTCCTTCTGCGAGGAAACCTCACTAACGGCCGAACCTAAGTTCCCTCGTTTGTCTATCTGTTCAACATGCTGTGCTAATTTCGTTCCTTGATTAAAAAAAAATGCCTTTGCTGCCATGCAGACGCACATTACAAATATTCACGCTAATGTTTTTTGGTAAGCATAAAGGATTCTCGGTGTGCCATGATGGATCGACAGTCCGACGTTGCGATTCTTTCGTTCGGCATTCACATGTTTCTCGATGCGATTTTTTCCCTTCGAAACTTTCGAAACTCACTTTTACTTTCTCGTAACCGACTGCAACTTAGCTTACCTGAGGGTAATGAAGTGTAAAAAAAAAACGAATTCCTTAATCGTTCCCTAATCCCTCTCACCTTGGACTGGATCATCTCCACGGTAGCTCGCGAAATCGTCTTCGGCTAAGCCGGATTCACTCAAGAACAAACACTCCAAAGTTCAACGTTCAAGTTTGTTTTGTGGCTCGGAGAGGCATTTCGGCCCTCATTCGCATCTCGAGTTGAAGTGAAGCACTAGCTTTATGATAGACTCTTCGGAGTCCGCGTTCGGTGCGATTCTCTCAGCATCTAAGGTAAAAAATAAATATAAATAAATTTGCTGCCAAAGCGACCTGTTATTTGGTTTTCAGTATCGACAGCTACTACAGACAAATAAATAAACTGCATGACTTGGGCAACACGGTACGAGTAAGCTACCGAGTTGTTTTTTATTCTTCCCAGAGTAGGTTTTCCAGAACCTGCATTTCTCAGGAAAGTATGCAGCGAAACCTTCGAATTCGAACGAACGTATTGTCAGTAGCAAATAAACGATTTCGTCCAAAGCTCGCAGCCGCCCACGGTGGGGCGAGTCGATCGATCAGGCTTAATTCAATTGTTTGTCGCCGTGTGTAGCGTTTCCCCTTTTTTGGATAGGTGAAATCCCAAAATCTTCTGAAAGCCACACTCGGCGCGATGATCGAAGAACTGTTGCCCCAGGCGTTTCCAGGCGGATCTCGAAGGCCGAACCTGCCGCTTGCAAGCAAAGCTCGTTCCAAATGAAGTGAGTCCTCGGCCGAATGGGCGAGGGGGCTAAAATTCTCCTCGAACCTTTGGCCTTTCGTGCGGGATCAGGTGTTGGGAGTCTGATTGCCCGAGACGAGGACTGGGTGGGAATGAGGGAATGAGGGGAGGAACCCGGGATTTTTCCAAGATTTCATCTTCGCTGCGGATTTGCCCCCGACCTTGCCCGAATGGGGGGGGGGGGGGGGGGGGGGGGGGGGGGGGAGTGGAAAGGCGTCCTACACTTTTGCTCTGGGCTCTCGCGGATCAGTTAAGCGATCCAAAACCGCATTTCATTTCTTGTCCTTCTGCAGAGTCTCCCTATCTCTCGCTGGATTTGCGAACGGTGGCAGAGGAGGAAGCTGCTTTCGAGATCGTCGCTCTTCACGTCGTCCTCGCGATTTCGCTTTTTTTCTCTTTCAAGAGCGATTCGCGGCCGATCAGCCGGAGCGAAGTTCGTGTCGCTTTCGGACGACGAGTCAACCGTTCATTTCGATTAATCCATTAATTGGTTGAACCCCACGGCTTATGGAGTTCTGATTGCGCTCATTTTGTAGCCTTGGGCACCTTTTGCTCTCCCAAATCCATCAACTTGATACGAGTCGACGACCCGTTCGTCGTAATTTTTGAATCCCATCCCGTCGCATCAAGCAGGACCCAAATGAAGAAATTGCCCACAACTTTTCGTAAAAGCTGCCCCTCTTTTAATTCCAATCGTGAAGAACATTAACGAGACACAGACGATCTCATTCTATCCTTGGCTCGACCTTGACAAAGGACGTCACAGTGGACAAAAATTCCTCTCGACGAACCTTGAACCGTGATAGTCTTCTCCGAGCGTAAGCACTCGAGATGCAGGAGGAGCGGGAAAATCCTCCCTCTGCCCCTCCCCCGGGTCGCCCCCTCCCCCGGATTGCCCCCTCCCTCGGACTGCCTTCTCTCCCGATTGCCCCCTCTCCCGGATTGCCCCCTCCCCCGCTTTGACGCGCAACTTGCCCATCAGCCGCAGTCCAACAAGTAGCTACAATTTTTCTGCCAATCTTTCTTGGCCTTTATATTCGTTCTGAAATGAGGCGTGAGCCTCATTTAAAGTTGAAAGAAGTCGAAGGAAGGTGAATGCGGCCACTCTAAGAGGCGAACGACCTCCACGTGGGTCACAAGCTCGGAAAAAATCTCGTCAGGAGACGAGGAGAGGATCCGCCTTTTTGCTTTTTGCTTTTCGCATATTTCAGCAGTGCCAAATCGTCGCATCTGCCGATTAACTTTTTTTCCTTCCAAAAGGTCAATTAGCGATAAGGGTTACCAACCAGGGTTACCACGTTACCAACGGTGACCGAACGTCACATGGGCGTTTCCATCATTCCAACCGAGGCGTGTGAATTCGTTCAATTCGTTTCTTTTTCTTTAAATATATATATTAGAAAAGTCGAGAAAGAAGAAAGAAATTCTCTGAGGAGGTGGAGGCAAAAAAATGCCATCAAATTCCACCATCTTGCATAATTCCATCATTTATTTAGTTTCATTCGCATTTTCAGCTTCAGTTTCAGTTGTTGGCTCGGTTTTAGGAACCGATTAGATCCAAAACATTGAAATGAATCATTTGACGGACGTCCCAGATCTGAATTCCATGGTGGATTCTTGCGTCCTCGCATTTGTGAGTTCGTCAAAAAAAAAGTCGTAAAAAACGTCCTATTCATGGCAGTCAGGTCTCGATGAAAGAAAGTTTATAGAAAGAGGCTTAAGAGCAATTCCAAGTATAATCCGATGGAGACCTCCATCCGCTTTCCCCGAGGAGCGACTTCCTCCATTGCTTTCAAGCTTCATCTTGTTAAAGTCCACGTTTAGCCTCCTTTATGGCCTCAAGGCAAATTTTGGATGCGGGGGACATGGAAAGTAAAAAATGCCCACGATAATTGCCTCATATTCCTTTTTATTCAATAAATCTAAATTCCTTCTTTCTAAATTCCTTTTTAGTCAACCCTGATATAGGGGACCTTGTGTCCTCGAAACGTTGACCTTTCCTTATAAACCTTTCCTTATAATAAATTCTCCTTTTTGCGTTTTTCTCAATCGTCCTCAATCCTTTGGCCTCATCCATGCGGATCCAGTCAGCGTGGTGGTTGGGAACTTTTTTTAACTTTTTCGATGAATTTGTTCAATTTAGACCTTTCTTTGGTTTTGATCATTTCGAGCTAATAATTAGTAAATGTGTGATAATTATCTTGCTGAGCAAGTTCGGATGTCGTCTGGACGAGTTCGTTGCATTCAAACTGATAAACTGAATTTTAAAAAATTAAAATTGACAGGGACTCCAACCAGTCAAACATTTTCAGTGGGCTCAGTAGTTCACGGTTGGCCCATCGCTGGCAAGCGGTTGGCCCATCGCTGGCAAGCGGTTGGCCCATCGCTGGCAAACGGTTGGCTTACAGATGGTTAAAGTAGCATTTCGTCGGGCATGTCCTGCACATGCCCGGAAAATGGCCAGATGATGAGTCCGTTTTCCTTGAACATCTACGCGAAGATGAAGTTGCATCACGCATTTCGGGGAGGCAAGAAGATTCATCACTCGGGGCGGTCTCCGCGTTTAGAGGAGGAAACCCCGCCTCCCCCCGAATGTTGTTTCCATCAATTCCTCGCTGCACGTTCTCGTGGGCGAGGCCCAGGTCCTTTTGCTTGCCAGAACCCATTTGGCCCTTTTGTGGGAGCCTTTTCGTCCTCTTCGAATTGCTCAAGTACGCGCAATATTAGGTACGACGAATTATTTCTATTGAATAGTACCGAAGTCTTTTTTTAAAATATATTTAAATACGTACAAATACGTCTTCTTTCAAGAAGTCCGACTCGACTGGCATCGATCGTAGTACAAATCCTGTGTGAATTGGCTGCCAGAACCATCTGGAACTGGGTTACGTCTCAAGAAAAACGCATCATAGAATCCAATTTTCTTGCGCGAAGATTTATAAAACGATCGGGTAACAGTGCGAAAGGCACGGGAAGCTCATTTCGGTAGGATCAGAGAGCGACTCGCCAGAATGGCGATTTAAGCGTCATCTCGCTCCAAATTTGGGAATTTGGCGAAAGTGTGTCTGTTGCTCTCTCGGACTGAAACCGGGGGAAAGTCGGAAAGAACGTTGCTCTCTTCGTCGGCTTCACTTTTCCTGGAAACGGCCAACGATGGCAAACGGCCAACAAAGCAGTATCTCGCGCGTATTGTCCCGCACGCAGAATAGTTTACGCTTCGTCACCTTTTTCGCTTTGAAAGCTCCAAATTAATAATATGCTGTAAATGCACGCGAGGCGCTGTCGCGATGCCATAGCAAATTAGAAATTAGGCCCCATGACGTCAAAACGTGAAACTTTTCGACTCTTCACCCGATAGTTATCGCCACCAGATTCCGAATGAAACTCAGAACGAATTTGGAAACTCCTGCCATCAGAGACTCCCCATTTCCCCTTGCAACGATATCCGCTGAGTTCCATCGCAACGCGTTTTAAAGCG